GCAGCAGTGGTCACGGTGGGGGAGGCGGCTTGCGACAGAGCCAGAGCGCCCTGCGCTGCCCGCAGCCCCTCACGCGTCTCCCGGCACGCTGGCTTTGCTCACTGCCCATACACACCGAGGCGCTCTCCCCCGCGTCCCTGGAGCCCCTTGGCCACCCACCTGTGCTTCCACACACACCTGCGCCTGCAGGGCCCGTCCCTCGCAGCTCACGGGTTCAGGGGTCTCACATACACACACGCCAAGGCCACCCTCTCTCACAGGCAGGTGCGCCCGCTGGTGCCTACCTCATGGCCAAGCAGGTCTGGGTCTGGGTGACAGAAGGACGGCCAACAGAGGCTCCTGTCCTGGGCCCTGCTTTGCTGACCTCACGCCGCCCTCCCAGCGCAGGGGAACGCTCCATCAGGACAAGCTGCTGGGCAGGGCTGTTGTTTCTGAGCTGGGGGCGTGGGGTTGCGGCCCAGCTGTGTCCACTCAGCACCTATCCAGGGATTCCAGGATCCAGGCCCTGTAATCACAGCTCAGCCAGACCTCAACTACCCATCCTCACCTGGCCGACTCCGGGGTGGGTGGGCTGCCCGGCTCTTGCCCCCACCGCTAGTGACTGCCTGTCCCATGACCCACCACAAAGCTGACTCTAGGGAGGGAGGGGGTATTCTTTTTTTCTTTTTGAAGATTGATTTATTCATACAGAACTGGGGTACAGGCCAGAGGTGCAGGGGTTGAGAGGACTCACCAGAGACACAGTGGGGAGCTGAACAGACTGACAAAGTGCCCTGCTGAGGGGAGCAGCGGGCGGCCAGGAGAGGTCTGCTGCGCCAGGTGGTCACCTCCGGGGCTGGGGATCGAACTCACACTGAGGCGGCTGAACTCACACTGAGGCGGCTGCGACTTGCTTGCAGTGCTGCGCCCTAACCCGCTGCACCACCAGGGAGGGCCCTGGGGTAGTTCTTAAAAGGGGGACCCTCTACCTGTGGATGTTCTGAGCCCCATCACCCACCCCCGTTACTCAGTGGCCAGAGACAGAAACCCAATTTAAACCAGAAAGGTTATTTATTGTAATTAAATTGAATGTAATTAAATTGTCCAAGTGACAGACGTGGCCAGAGCCAGTGAGTCTGGGAGCAGAGAACCATCCTCTTGGCTCTGCTGTCCACAAGGCGCCTTAAGGTGCCCCCCGGGAGCGCTGGTTGCCGACGTCCCCATCTCTGTTGGCTGCTTCATGATCCAAAATGCAAAAAGACCCTCTCTCTCCCACAGAGCAAACCTCGGGCAGAGTCTGCCTGGCTCTGAATGGCAGCAGCTGGAGAGTGGGGTCTCTGATTAGCGGGCCTGGTCATGTGCTCCCTCTCCCTAAAGCAAGTCACACTAGCAGACAGAGAAAGTGGGTTCTGCAACAGTCGTTTCCCTGAAAGCCCAAAAGTGTGAGCGATACAATTAACACCAGGCCCAGTGGTCCCAGGGGGGCTGCGGTGGCCAAGTGGGGAGGGGCTGGCCCTGGAGAAGCAAGAATGCAGGGGTGGTATGGCGTGGGGGGTGACACCAGGTGCTTCACCCACATGACCCTGGCCCACCCTGGCAGAGAGGAGGGTGGAGTGCAGTTCCAGAGGTGTCAAGGAAGAGAGAAGTGGTGAATCTAGGCGGAACCGAAAGCAACAGAGGGACACACAGGGTGGGTGGGGGGAGTCGTGGGCCAATCCAAGAATCGGTGTTTCCAGGCAGGAAAAGGCCGCAGGCTCTCCTCGGGGAGCAAAGCTGCCTGGGGGCAGGCTGCAGAGGTCCCCTTAGACCCCATCCCCTCCCTTGACGTGGCGAGTTCCCCTCCAAGATGACGGTGGCCTGGAACCCTGTCCACGCCCACCCCCAAGTCTGCCACTCCCAGCCCATCCCCTAGCAGATTTTGTAAACTGCGAAACGGCCCCGCCGGAGCTGGGCACGTGCTGGGCTCGGTGACCATGTCACAGGGACTTGGGAGAGCTGGTTAAATGAAGGGTCTCGGGGAGGGGGAGGGGTCAGAACAGGAGAGGGTAGAGCACAAGGGCCTGGGGGTGGGGGGGTGCTCAGGCGAGCTGGTGGTGGGAATCCGACAGGGACTAGCCCCGAGAGGAGAAAGCAAGCTTCGTACAGAAGGGAAGCGTGGTGTGCCATACCTGTGAATAAAGTAAATAAATAAAAACGGTTGGGGTGGCCCTCCCTGGTGGCGCAGCGGGTTAAAGCACAGCACTGAGAATCCAAAGCCGCTTCCGCATGAGTTCGATTCCCGCCTGCCCCGGAAGTGACCACATGGCGTGGCAGACCTCTCCTGGCCCGCCCGCTGCTCCCCTCAGCAGTGGACTTCGTCGATCTGCCTGTTCTGTTCCCCACTCTGTCTCTGGTGAAGCCTCTCGCCGCCCCTGAGCCTCTGACCTGCATCCCAGTTCTGTATGCACAATAAATAAATCTTTAAAAAAAAAACGGTTGGGGTGGGGTGGGGCTTTTTGTCGCTTTGCGGTGGGAATGCTGGGAGGGACGCTGGTGTGGAGCAGGTGCGCAAGCAGTTCTGGCACCACTTGCTGAAATCATACAGACCAGTGACAGCTGATCGTGGGCCAATGGTCTGAGGGGCAAAGAAGTGGGATGAGGAGCATGTCTGGAGGGTGGGGCAGGACTGGGGGGCAAGGTTTTACGGGGGGCAAGAAGTGGACATCGTGACCATACATCAAGAGACGCTTCTTCAGCAAAGAATGACGTTACCGCCACAGGCAGAGCCATCCCGAGGCGGCCACGGACACAGCCACGTCATCGGCTCAGCCGTGGCCTGGGCGTCCCGGGCCTGCCTCGTGGCACGGGCTCTGCTCCGTCGGTGGTCGAGGCGTGTCCAGCTGTGACGTGTGGATAGCAAAGAGGTCGCAGTGGTCTGTGAGCGGCCAGCTCATGGGAACCCACAAAAAATTAAATAAACTAAGGATCTCAAGACAAGGCCGTTTTCCCGGCCTGGTGCAGTCACAGGGTCCCTAAGAGAGAGGTCAGAGGGTGAAAGCAAGGGGAGGTGCTGAGGCCAGTGGAGGCAGAGAAGAGGGCGAGACACCCCGAGAGCCGTGCTGCTGGCTTTGGAGGAAGGGGCCAAGGAGAGCGGGCGGCCTCCAGAAGCTGGCAAAGGCCGGGAATGGCTTCTCCTGGACCCTCGGAAAGGAACCAGCCGATGAGACGATTTTGGGGTTCTGACCCCCAGATTTGTAATACACATTGTGCTGTCATTTGTTACAGCATGTTAAGAACTCAGGTATTTGGATTATAACCTCTTCTTGCCTTCTCTGCTTCAGTCTCCCCATTTGTAAAATGGGAGGAGGGGAGGATTTGGTCTAGTAATGGACAAGGACCTCTCTGGCTGTCCTGGGCCCCCTGATGCCAACCATCCCCAGCTTTCGCCCACACTGGCCTGCACCAGCCCTGATCTAGGGCTCGCGCCCAGTAGGGGGCCGGGGGGGAGACCAGAGGTAACCCTGGGCTGGGTGCCTACCCTTTCCGAGGTTTGGGATCAGAGGCTAGCATTGAGAGGGCAACATTCCCAACACTGACCT